TTTACGCTTTGCCAGCCGGGAGCTGGGGAAGGAGCCCGCTCGGCGCCGTGTCCCGCGCTGAGCTGGAGCAGAGCCGGGCTGGAAGCTCACCCCAGTCTCCCACCTGGTCTTGGCTCTGCGAAGCTGCTCAGCCCCGGCGTCGTCACAAAGCCGGCTCTCAGCCCTCCATGGGCTTTGTTGCTTTCTTGGTTTCAACTGACCTTCAGGGTGTAGAAAAGCCACCTGAAATGCAGAAAAGAGTAGATGTGGTTGTGCTTTGGTGTCCCCTGGATGCTCTAATTCCTCCAGCTCCTCCTTGTAGCCTGGCCCTCGCCACAGAGTAAAAGCTCTCTTCTTTATTTCCTTTAAATCTACAGAACGGTCCAGCTGAATTTACTGCTCTGTCTTCAGATGGCCTGCTTGCCCTCTGTAATTTGATTTTCAGATGAGCTCATCTTCCCCGGTTATCTAAACCAAGCACCGCAGCCCGATGATAAATCCCGCAGCCTCCGTGGCACTAATGTACCATGAGCGTAACATGATGCTGCTCTGCAGCAGCCCGTGGCTGGAAATTGGCTGGAGCCCAGGCACCGTTCCGAGTACAGGGTAGCGTGGTGAGCGGTTGACTCATTTTTCTAAATTAAGATTAAAGGCTCAGCTCGAGAAATTCAGAATCTGCCTCTTCGCAACAGCAAACACGCGCTTCTATTTGGGGAGCACCCTCCGCCAGCCGGCTCCCGCAGGAAGATTTCGGTTGGTGATGGCTCCGTGTTGAAGGAGGGCTTGGCTTTGGGGGGTTTTCTAATATTGTGCACGATGTCTGGAAAAATATAACATCTGTCTGGGTGATGTGTTGGTAGGTAGCTCCCCGTTCATGCTCTGCTGCTGGCGCTGCTCTCTTCCTTCGTGCTTTCTTTAAGTAGATCACCCTCACCTTTCCTTTTGCGGTCTGAGATGATCTTATTGATGAAAATATTCCCATTGCAAAGCAGCACAACCTGGTCAACCCTGAGTTTTCCCCAAAGACGAAGGTGCCACGGGAAGAGAGCTTTCCACCAAACCCCACCAAAGCAGCCCGATTTGCTGCGTGCTCTGAGCACCGTCGTCACTGTTCTGGCTCAGCCTCGCTGCTCAGAGGTCCTCAGGTGTTGAGGTTTGCCTCACAGAAGGTGTTTCAAGTTATAGAATTGTTTAGGTTGGAAAAGACCTTGAACGTACGTGGCAGCCGTGCAAACTGAACGGCCGCTGTGCTGCCGGTGGAAGTCCACAGTCTGTTAAATGAACTGTTGCAGTGACTGCTTTCTCGGTTTCTCCAGGAACCAGGTTATAATTACAGAGCCGAAGTTAAAAAACTCATTCCCCAGTTGGAGTATTTGGATGAAATACCAGCGAGCCAGACTGCCCTCCTTCCTTCCAAGAAGATGCACGAGGATTGGCTGAACATCAAGGAATCCATCAAGGAAGGTGGTTTAGCCGGAGACATTTCATGGTTAGGTACGTCGGGTTTCCCATCGGGGTTCATGTTTCGGGTTCTGAGGTGGGAAAAAGAAAGATGAAGAACGAGCTGGCCTCTTCAAGGCCAACATTTAATTACAGCGAAGGGAGGAAGGACGTTGTCTTCTTCACTCGGGAGGTGAGGAAGCTGGAATTGAGCACGGGGCAGATTTAAATGAAAGCTGTCTAAGCTCACAAAAATGCAGGTGGCTTCTAGAGTGTCAAGCAAATCCAGCCGTAGCTGACAGTCCGTGCTTAGCGTTCGTTCTGTGTGAAGGGAAAAAGCAAAGCTTGGAAAGCAATGTTTCGACAACCACTGTCCCCAGCCCTTTCCGCGTAGCAGCCAACCCCTTGTAGCATGGGTATCTCCTACTCCAGTCTGATAGTAGGGAAGGCAATTTCGTCACCGCTCCTCAGTGGTAGCGACATCCTGAGGCTGTGTGGTCTCACTGGAGAGCTGTTCTGTCTTCTTTGCCTCTGTGACTAAGTCAGTTACATTCATTAACAGAGAGTAAACGGATTGAAAATAAATCTCTTTTCCCTTTGCCTGTAGCCTTGGTTGTAGTTCAGGTGTTCATGCTTTTACGTGTCGCGCTACGTGCGCTTTACGACGTGCCATTCAGTATTACAAAGCCTTTCCTGTAACTGCTCCTCTTGCTTCCCATTAGCATGGCAGTGCAGTCAGCTTCCCACCCCTCCCCAAGCTGTGGTCTGCCTGCCGACTCTACTCCATTAAAAATTTAGCTTGTTTTGGAATAAGAACATACGTTTGTCATTTATTTAATCCCTGTGGGTCCAAATCATTAGTTGGAATAGTAGTTATGGAAGGGGAAAAAATCCATTACAGTCAGATCCCTCAGTGATCCCACTTTGGCAACATCAGCTACGGCTCAGAAAACTAGTTAACAACGTGAGCTGATGGGGCCAGAGCATGAAATCATGAGTTTGTATGGTTTCCTAGCGTAACCCTGCTTATAGCCATGCCTCCGGCTCTGAACCGATGAGCTCACACGCTCAGGTTCAGCGATTCCCATATCTTCTTTCTCTCCTGTTGGCTTGGGTGCTTTCTGCGCACCGTGTGTTTTGTGAGTTTGTAGTGACAGCTACGGCCAAGATATGTTCCGATTTCAGCTCTTACGGCAAAGGTCACGTTATCACAGAGCCGACTGCTCCACCGCGGAGCTGGTAAATGCTCAACACTTCAGGAAAGCTGTTCATCCAGGAACCAACAGGGGGTTTGCTCTCCCCTGGGTTGTTGGCTTGTTGCAGCTTGTGCTCCCAGGGCAGCCGGTGGTCAGGCTCCGTCTGCCTTCGCTGGCTTTTGTGTAACCCACCCTGCCCCGTAGCATTATGAAAACTTGGTTTTTGCCTTTCCTTCTGCGGTAGAGAAGTATCCGTCCCTGCTGCGGTGCTGGAAAAATCTTTCGCTGCCACTCCCAAATCTCTGTAACTCCTGGTTCGTGGTTTGCCCTGATGGACTAATAGCTCTGGGGAGATGGCTGTCACCATCTCTCTGGGCATTTAAGCAACAGATTTTAAGGCTGGGGGCAAGTCTGCAGTGGTTCCCCCACAGTGAGCAGCAAAGGAGGGGCAGCTTGCTCTCACCCCAGCTTTTGGGTTAGGTTCTGGCTTAGGTTCTGCTATTCACAGAGGACAGCTCCGGCGGCCTGCCTGCAGCACCAGGAAGGCCTCTGTCTCCAGGCTTGACCCATTCCAGCACGTCTCTCGAACCATTCCAGCACATTTCTTGACCCATTCCAGCACATTTCTTGACCCATTCCAGCACGTTTCTTGACCCATTCCAGCACATTTCTTGACCCATTCCAGCATGTCTCTGGACCCATTCCAGCACATTTCTTGACCCGTTCCAGCACGTTTCTTGACCCATTCCAGCACGTTTCTTGACCAATTCCAGCACATTTCTTGACCCATTCCAGCACATTTCTTGACCCATTCCAGCACATTTCTTGACCCATTCCAGCACATTTCTTGACCCATTCCAGCACGTTTCTTGACCCATTCCAGCACGTTTCTTGACCCATTCCAGCACGTTTCTTGACCCATTCCAGCACGTCTCTTGACCCATTCCAGCACGTCTCTTGACCCATTCCAGCACATCTCTTGACCCATTCCAGCACGTCTCTTGACCCATTCCAGCACGTCTCTTGACCCATTCCAGCACATTTCTTGACCCATTCCAGCGCATCTCTTGACCCATTCCAGCACCTCATATTTTTCTGTTCCCTACGGCTCCGAGTGTGCAGCAGCAGCAGCTACCATAGCAGCAGTGTAGGGTGACGGTGTGGTGTGAAGCCCTGCATGACCGTACTTCCAGTAATGAAACCTCTCTCTTAGATCCATGTCTCGGGGCAGTGGCGAGGCAGCCTGGATGCAGCCCAAGACACCCGACGACTTCCAGACCCGGACCGGCGCGCTGGGCGGCTGGCGCAGGGAGATGTAGCAGCGCCCACCTCTCGTACAGTGGCCGTTCTCTTCCAGACCCTGCTCTTTCTGGCGAGCTGTTCGCAGGAGATGACTCCAGTGATTTGACACATGGTAATGTATGTTGTTTTTTTTAATCCTGTTCTTTCCCACACCTCCACCGCCTTCTGAATGTTATTACTGCTGATGAAAGCCTGAGCGCTTTGAATACCACCCACCCACGCCGCTGCTAGATCAGGTTTGGCGGATGTTCTCTTCCGTGGGACTCACCTGCTCTAGCGTGAGCTTTCCTTTATCTCACCCTGCAGCAGAAGTCATCTGGGCTTCCCCCTCCTTCGCCTCTTGCCCCACACATTCCTTACGTGCCCTGTTGCTCCAGACGGCCCCGGGCTGCAGTGGTGCTCCCTTGCTGACATCGCCTTTTGCACCTCATCAAAAGCTCCTTTCTTTAAATCACCCATCAGCGCAGCTGGGGCTCCCTTACATCACATCTGGGCCCACCGGAGGAATGTGGTCCAAGGTGGTCCTCCAGAAAGGCACGATGACACGCATTCGCTCCCTGTTGGATCATCCTTGTGTTATCAGCAAGTTCACCGATGATACAAAACCGGGAGGGGTGGCTGACA